TTGATTACATGATCATTTGGATGATTGCACATTGAATTAACTGCTGAAAGTGCTTTTGAATTGTTTTTTTTTTTTACTTCTGATGCAGTGTTAATCGATTAACCAGTTGCAGTACAAAACTGGTTAATCGATTAACCAGTGCAATTTTTGAAGTTTTCAAGTGGTTAATCGATTAACCAGTTTGCACAGGCAAATGGTTAATCGACTGGACCAAAATGTGATTTTTGGTTGTTTTCAAGCATATTTTGATTTCTTTCCACCTCTAACCTTCATGGCTTGATATGATGCATTTGTGTGGACTGTTTTTGACTAGCTTCATCATGCTTTATTGTTTGATCTCGATTTTTCAACGTGCGACTTTTGGTTTCTGTTTGAATGTTTAGACATGTTCATGTTGTTTGATTGATGTGATGAGCACATGCTTGAATTATTTATATCATGTTAATGATTGATTGTTGATGATCATCTTTCTGGATTATGTGATGCATGTTTGTGTTTGCTTCCAATTCCGTTTGTCGCATGTTCATTTGATTGCGTAATTGATTTGAAAAACATGTTGATCTTGTTGTTTCTTTATGATGCAATGTTGTTGAACAATGATGTTTGATTGTTGATGCATGTCCATTATTGCTTGTTATTTGTTCATGATTGGTGTTTGTTCATACTTCATTGCATTGAACATGCTTGCTGTCATTCTTTCTATAACTGTTGTATTCTGAATTTGCATGCTGTCTTTGTTATGCTTGCTTGCTACCTGCCCCTTTTACACCTACTTTTGTGCTGAATTGGTAGCTGTTAAGTGTTGTTGCATTGCATTGCTGGATTTTATTGATGTTTTATGCACAAGGCGTTTTTGTAGATGCTGTTTTTACCTTGTTTTCTTTCTTTTTGCCTTGCCTTTGCATGCTCCCTTAGGATTCCTAACCTAATTCATTTCTGATTAATTTTGGATTAGGATAGATATTAGGAGTGCAATCCATGCATGATAACAAGTAGGCTAGTCCCTATTAACCTCAACCTTAGGTCCATCTTTTGCATGCTAACATTAGGGTATAATTTCCTTTTCGCATTCTGACCTTAAGACTACTTTGCATGACAATGTTAGGACCGAGTTTCCCTTAGACCTTTCGTGCGTCTTTCTCTCTTCTCATCTCAAAATAATGCTAATACACTTAATAAAGACGATGAACATTGTACACCAAGAGCCTTAAGCATATTGGAAATGATGAGTGGAGGGTTTCTTCTCACTTGTCTAGAATGTTAGTGTACGCCCCGTGGGCGATATGCGACTCATTCGCTCCTATATCATAGTCTTTAGTGCAATGTAAATCACAAAGTAAACTAATTCACTTCACTAAAACTCACAAACAAAAATTAAACCCTTTTATCCTTCGGGATTGTGTTTCAAACTCATTTTTAGAAAGAGTACGTTACTTTTTCGTTCTACCGCAAACAGGCATCGACCCTAGCTACTGGAATGGGAACTTAACGTCACTCCTAAAAACACTTAACCAACCTGTGGTTTTATAATAACCCGAACTACGTTTGCTCTGATTTCTCATATCAGATGAGGATACGTAGGCACAAGACGACGATGTCTTGGCGAGTAACCTTCCCCCCATCACCCTTAGTTTTCCTACTACGTTGACTCTGACTTTTCCATTGCACGAGGGAATACGTAGGCATAGGGCGACGATGTCCCACCGAGTCTCTCTTTTTCTTTTTCTTCATTCTCTTTTCTATTTAGCAGTAACTTATAGATAAACACACCCTTTGATTAGACAACAACCATGGATCCTGTTGAGTACAATGGACGTGAGGGGTGCTCATACCTCCCCCTTACGTAACCGACTCCCGAACCCAAGTTTCGGTTGCGATGACCTTGTCTTTCCCATTCTTCAGGTTTCCTCCGGTCGTTTCCTTTCCCTCTCTTTAGGATAAATAACGTTCGGTGGCGACTCTTCTGTTTTCCGTTGGGTGTTTTTTGTAGTTGCGACATACACTATTTAATAACCCTACCAAGCTAAGGAGGTTAAGGTCACAAGATTATTTCTGTTATACGTGGTCTTTTCAAAAGATGGTCGGACTCTTGGAATATGCTCCATTTATATATTACTTTGTTGACTCAATCTCCAGGAGCCCGTTTGATGAATCATAAATGCCTATGTCCCCCTTTCTTTCTGAGGTCATTCAATAGAGATTAATTCAACTGTCTTCTTGTCTGGGATGAGCCATTTATGGTCATTACTAGGTCTTCGAGACCCCTTTGTGTTATAAAGATACTTTTGATGCTGAATGGGATGTGTTTGTCATGGGCCTAACTTTTGCTCTTGGTCTAAAGGTATGCCCACATTTCAGTTCTTGCTCGGCTAGTTTATTTCAAACTCGATTCATATCTAACATTAAGTGACACCGAAATGTACACAGTCCTTCAAGAATGAGGTCTAAATGGGAGACATGCTTTAGAGTGAGATTCTGAAATATACATAGTTCTTTAAGCATGAGGCCCAAGGGAAAAATGGATTAGAGGGAGAAGCTGGAATATACACAACCCCTCAAGCATGATCCCCAAAGAGACAAAGTGCTTTTAGAGGAAGAGAGTAGAATGTAAAATCTCGTTTATCTAATAGTGAATCCTAATTTCTTAGATGAGACGATTATTAGCAAAAGCACGAACACACGCTAAATTTTTTTATCACACCTAGACAATTTGAAATTTAAAAACAATAATCTTATGAACAATTATTCTGGGTTCAATGATAAAACTTATGGTTTATAGTGATTTATCTCTTGAAAACAGTTCAATGATGGTTAGGTATAAAGAGTATCAAATATGAGAATAACAGAATAATAATAATAAATGTTAATTAACTAAACTAAAACATTGTATATCACATGGTTCAAATAATTAAAAAGAGGTTGTACAAGTCAAAAAGTGTAGGTGCACGTGGTATCTTTGCAATGGCAGAGTATAATTAGAAGCCTTAGTAAGTTTATAACAATTCGTGGTGGTAGGGATTTTCCCACGACAACGAGAAGCCCTGTACATTGATGTTACGATGGTCGTATAGTCTTGCTCACGTGAGGTGAGAGGCTTTGTTTGTCAGCATGTGGCTTTAGGTGTTGTGTATAAGTTATCAGATGTCTTCCTTTTGTTAGCGAGAGAAGTATTTATAAAGGCTCTTTGGGCATATGACTTAGGAAACCCTAAAAGGTGGTAATCGCTCCTTTATTGGAGGAGATTGTTGGCTACATATTCTTTAGGAAGTCGTGGCATGAATCATTCTTGTATGCCTTAACGGGGAGATATTGGTATTTATACATGTCACATATTCCTAAGGACGATACCCCATACCTCGCAAAGCTAGCGCCTATGTGATGCTTTATTGGGCGAAGACCCAAGAGCCACCCTTATTTAGATTCTCACAAATATAACACTATAGAGGTTCATCTCAAAATCATAACCCTAGAAAAACTAGTCACTCATAAAAAATAAAGATATTACCAATTAGTTGTCACAAATATACATTCACAAAGAATTGATAGAAATGATAATCTTTGCTTCCATGGGTGAGAATTGTTATTGTCACTCCTTAGAAAGACGTGACTGCTTCTGTTTTGACCTTCAAAATATGATATCAAAATCCTTATCTCACTTTTCAATAAATATGTACTGATTGCGGGCTTTTAGGATTGACAAAAATAATACAAAACAAAATAATATGCAATGCAACGCATGACAAGTCAAAATACGTTAGACCACTTTCTATGGGCTGTGGCTTAAGAGGTTAAACATACAAAAAAAGGTGACACCGCAATGCGTCGATCACATGGAGAAACACACTGCAGTTCCATATTTCATGTGGTTTAGAGAAAATCCACGTCACTAATTATTTTTCTTTTATAATCTTTCTTTGGTCGGATCATTTTTGGAGAACTTTTTGAATATGTTTTTGACTTCAATTGACAATCTAAGTTATACATTTAAAAATAAAAATAAATACTACAAGAGTTTGTGTGATTAGTGAAAAATAATACAAAGACATTCGATTGACCACTAATTCTAAATTTTAACAAGTTGAGATCCTTTTCATCACTAAAATTTTGACTAAAATGAACTATAAATGGTGTAAAATATATTAGCAAATGAGATATCATCACTGGTTAGTGAAACCAACTCCTCGACCATGGTAAAAACACAAGCAATGTTATTTACAATAGACCAATGTCTCTCATACGAGATAAATGATTTAATTTCTTAATTTATTTATGTTAAACTTTTCCTCATCCGTAAAAAAAAGTTAAACAATGAATCAAGTAAATTAAAAGAAATCGTTTTCATTTTTAAAATGACTATTCTCTTTTGAAAAAGAAAAATTATTAGAAAAAATAAATTGTCTTAAAGATAAAAAAATATATTTTAATTTATAACTCTCAGTTTACTTATTTTAATATGTTTAATAAATCTATCGAGTATGAACTTTTAAAAAACAAAATCGAAAATGTACATAATACATATGAAAAATATATCAAAGAGAAAGATAATATCATTTTAGATAATCAAATATGAATATATAATTAAGTTGGTTTAGAATATCAACTTAAAAATGATAATGTTAAATCCTTTAAAAATATTGTCATGCTAATAGGACATATAGTTGCAATATACCTAAATGTAATTATTTGATAAAAATGGTCATATCTCTTCATTTTGCTTATTCATAAGGAAAAACCATGTATTTAATATGAAAATGACTGCTTCTTCTATCCACACCATACTGTAGAAATATAAGCATTATTGGCAAGTATATGGACCAACTCATTTTGGGCTTTATTACAAAACCAACCCTATAGTTCCTAATTCGGGTCAGGCCCGTTTTAATTTCCCTAATCTGCACCCGAAGATTTTCTAGGGTTTTCGCTACTTGTTCTCGCCATCTACACTAAACATTCATTTATCATTCTTGTCATTGTTGTCACGAAAATCAAGCACAGAGAAGATGGTTCAGAGGCTTACCTACCGCCGGCGCCATAGCTACGCTACCAAGTCCAACCAACATCGGGTTGTCAAAACCCCCGGTAACTTGTCTTTCAACGTGTTGTTTTGCACTGATAGAGAGAGTGAATCATGCAAATTTGTGCGCTTTTTGTTTATTTATCGGTGTTTTGTTTGATGCAGGTGGAAAACTTGTTTATCAGACTACTAAGAAGAGAGCTAGTGGACCAAAATGCCCTGTTACTGGAAAGAGGATTCAAGGGGTATGGATGCCTTTTTAATTTCTGATCTGGTGAAGTTGATTAATAAAAAATTAGTTTTAAAGTGTTTGAGTTTTAATTTATGAGATGTTGGTTGTTGCCATTTATCATTGTGTGTGGGAATATATGTTCTTATGGTAATGTGATAGTAGAGAAGAAGTGAATTGTTAGTTTAACCTATTTTTGCTCCTATGTTCAATGGGAAATCAGTATTTTTCAGTTACTTTTAGAGCCTGTTTGGATAAACAGCTAATTTGCAGCTTATAGCACAAGTGCTTATGAATTAACTCGCATAAGCTATTTTTATAACAAAAGATAAAATAAATTTAAATTATTCTTATATATGTTATAAGTTGTTTTCATTAGCTATTTTGAAGAATTTATAAAAATAAGTTTAAATAATTTATGACAAAATGTCATAAGCTATTTTGATTAAGTATCCCAAACAGTGTCAGAAAACTAATGGCAGTAGATAAGTTCAAATAAGCCCATCCAAACAGGCCCTTAATGTGTTATGGTCTGTGCCTATGTTGAAATATGACAATGCATCTACTTTAAACTCATAATGTAATACTATTAGCAGTAGCTGGTCAAGTTGTTGGCTTATATTTTTTTTTTGTAATAGTCTTACGGTGATGCTTTTCATGATTTCATCACACGATTTTGTCTGTACTGATGCACACAATTTTTTTTATAAAACAATTAGGTTAGACAAACTTTTCAAAACTATGAGATGTTACTAAACTATTAATGTATTCCATAATCAGTGCAAAGGTTAAAGAATTATGGGCGGAATGATTCATTAAAATGTCCTGTGTGTTTGTTTTTATTTTGTGGAGATGGTACACATTATAGGATTGGTCTGCCATGGTTTATTTTGAGTTTAAGATAAAATATTGATTTGCGCCACTCTTTCACGGTTAATCATTTGAGTTGAGTGAGTTACGAAGTATGACGGACTAGAACTATAAAATTCAGTTGCATGCTTGTGGTTATTATTTTTTGTTATTGGGCTTTCAATTTTTTATTGTGTAGATTAACATTTTGGTTGATCTTCTTCTCTACATGATTTGCTGATGTACTTTTGCATATATTTGTTCATCAAGGTTGTTAGAAATTGCTAACAACCGATTTTACTATAGAATAGTTATTAAGTTCACAATATTAGTAAAATAACAGCAAAAATGGGTTTTTTCAGTTTTGTGTTGGGTTGTCATGTAAATTTTACTAATGAACAATTACATTCATAATAAGATAAAGTTGTATAATTAAGCGATCTAGGATGAGTGACCTTTTGAGGAGTCTTGATGTTTTTCGTACAAGTTCTAAGCCGCCTGCTGCTAAGAGTCCAAAAGTTTGACAAGTAATTATTTTTCAACTTTCTGTCAATTAACTGTTATTAATCCTTTACAAATGCAGATTCCACATTTAAGGCCCACAGAGTACAAAAGATCAAGGTTATCTAGAAACAGGAGGACTGTGAACCGTGCTTATGGTGGAGTTTTATCTGGAGGTGCTGTTAGAGAAAGGTTTGTTCTGCTCAACTTTTCCGGTTTGCACTTTGTATACATATTAGAAAAATATGTTTTTCAACTTATTATACATATTAGAAAAATATCTGTTGACATTGCTTGATTTTGTCACTGGTTCTGTAGAATTATTCGAGCTTTCTTAGTTGAGGAGCAAAAGATTGTCAAGAAGGTCTTGAAGATCCAAAAGACAAAGGAAAAACAAGCTTTGAAGGCTTGAGTTTCATGAAACTGAGATGAAGATCTTTTTGGAGTAATTTTAGGTTTGAGAGATTATAGTACAAGCACAAAACTTATTATAGCTGCTACGTTTGTTAATTTTGTGCTCATTTGTCTTGTTTGAACTCATTCTATTGGGACTTAGCTTTGTCAACTAATCCTCTATGATACAATTTTGTTTGTCTCAGTTTTCTTTTGATGGTTTATTGATATTTTCACGTTTTTCTCCAAATATGTGTTTGCATTTAATAATATTATTGCAGTTAGGTTATCTTGTTTTCTGACTTCAATTTTATTGCTGGAAGCCTTTGGTTCCTTTTACCATTGGTAAGCAGAGGTTATAATCTTTTGAGATGCATTGCTAGTTTGGAGTGTCCTGATAGAGAATTTAGCCGATGTATGAATTAACAGACATTGGTTTTGCATATTAGAATTCAATATTTCATTACACGGTGAGTTTGATGAAGTCACTGATACATTGATTTGAAGTTTAGCATTCCAATATTAGATAACAAACCTATGGTCGTCACGTCTACAGGCTGAATTAGGTGTTTCACGAAACTGTATTGTCATTTATCATCACTTCCAAAATTCTATGTCTGAAAGTTGTACTCTGCAAACGTGGATAGATGTTATTTTGGTTAGGTTTGGGTCCGAGAATCCATAGTTCCGCTTGAGAGCCAACCTGTGTGGTTTTTGTCTGCCTCTCTTTGGTGGGAAGTGTTTTCCCTTTTCAAGATATTTTAGACTCTACTTTAGCATGGTTCTCGGTTAAGATTGTGGGTAAAGTACTATTAACATCTTATTGAAATGTGCACTATTTCTCTCAACTTTAGGGGAGAAGAGCCACATTGTGTAAACCCAAAATTGCCCTTCATTAATTTGAAAGTATATTTCTTGAAGCATTTGTTTCACGAAACTGTATTGTCATTTATCATCACTTCCAAAATTCTATGTCTGAAAGTTGTACTCTGCAAACGTGGATAGATGTTATTTTGGTTAGGTTTGGGTCCGAGAATCCATAGTTCCGCTTGAGAGCCAACCTGTGTGGTTTTTGTCTGCCTCTCTTTGGTGGGAAGTGTTTTCCCTTTTCAAGATATTTTAGACTCTACTTTAGCATGGTTCTCGGTTAAGATTGTGGGTAAAGTACTATTAACATCTTATTGAAATGTGCACTATTTCTCTCAACTTTAGGGGAGAAGAGCCACATTGTGTAAACCCAAAATTGCCCTTCATTAATTTGAAAGTATATTTCTTGAAGCATTTATATACGCCAAATTTATGTGTAAACCCAAAATTGCTCTTCATTAATTTGAAAGTTCTCTTGAAGCATTTATATAGACCAAATTTATGTGTAGCCGAGTCACATTCATTTTGTCAGAAGTGAGTTTGAAGATATATTTTCAAAATAATTTTATATATATGGGCCACTCATTTAATTCAGAGATGCATCTTTGTATTAATTCTATATGCATTATATTTTTGTAATTGAGTCACATCTTTACTTAATCCGGTGATGTATTTTCGAAAAGGTTCCTGATGTATACTTTTGTAATTACTTTTTAGCCAGTAAACTTTGACACTTTTGAAGAAATACACTTATGTAATAGACCACGTATAATAAGTATATTATCATAATAAGTTTGTTATCGATTGAACCATAATAAGATTAAATTACCATATATTACAATCAATCCAAAATTCATTATACAATCAAAATGGCAAATTAGAAAACAATAATACTATCCCTAATCAATAATAAAAATACTATTAAATACTATTGAGTATAGCTGTCTCTGTTCCTTTGCTGCCTCATGTACTGCGTTGTTGTATGTGCCTAAATTCTAGAAGTGAAGGTGAAAAAAATACACAAGAAGAGGGGGAGGTTGAATTGTGCTTGCAAAATTCTTTTTACTTCTAAACCAAAGTTCAGAATCTGATAATGAGTGTAGCGGAAAATGTAACATAAGCAAATAAAAACAGCAAAGAACACACAACAATTATCCTGGTTCCTCTCCAACTGAGAGTACTCCAGTCCCCTTGCTACACATGAAATTTCCATTATAATCAAACTGATTACAATGGCTTATACTCACAAATAAAAAACTTTCTCTGCTCAGACCTACAACCTAAGATTTCTTTGCTTAATCAACACCTGATCAAGACTTCTCTGCTTAGATCCTCAGATCCTAAGACTTTCCTTACTTAAACCCTCCTGGTTCAAGACTTTACTGCTTAGACACTCTGCCTAAGACTTATATGCTCAGACGCACCGTTTAAGACTTTTTTTTGCTCAGATTCACAATCCAAGACTTCACTGCTCAAGCCCAAGGCAAGAGACTTTTATCTAAACTAACTGTTTAGAGAAGGAATAACTTACAACAACACTTGATTAACAATCAGAGGTGTTCAAATATAATATATCGCACTTTTACACAAAGGATTCTTAAGCTATACAAGAATAAGAACTCTTTAACAAATTAACTTCTCTTGAGCTGATACGAATGTAGTGCGTGTATATTTCAGTTGTAGTTGCAGCGTTATTTCTTGAGTTGATATTCAAATCTTCAGCTTCTTTTATAACTGAAAAAATATAGTCGTTGAAGTATCCTCAATGACTATAATCAGATCAATTCTTCAAGTACATCTTCTTTTCTAATAAAGCAGGTGTTGGAACTCTTAGTCAAGGAATTATCCACAGTATAAGGCCTTTGCCCGGAGAACACTTATATGAAACAAGTACAACACAATTTTTTGATGATAATGTCAACATATCTAAAGTCTTGTGTTAGCAGAGCTTGAGTTGACACAACTCAGTTTCAAAGGCAGCCACAACACTCTTTTGATTCTAAAATGTACTAGTAGTAACTTTCTGACCAGACTCTCTCACGAGTGTATAATCAGAATCGAACCAAAGTTACTTCTGTGTTAGAACCAATTTCATCAAGTAAATAAAATTCTGCACACAAGAACCAACTAGTTAGAAATCCTATAAAAGGGCTCAAATTATTGATTCCATCTCAGCGGGAAGAATGCACAAACACATGGTTTATCCTCATTGTATTCATTAACATATGATTAGCCGAAGATGCGTGGAAAGTGCTGGAGGATCCATGCTTGAAAATGGTACATATGAAATATTAGTGACGATGTAGCACACATGTTATTAAAATGGTACAATAACAATAAAGGTGCAAATATATTACCATAATTAGCATGCAACTAGCTGTCATCTGTTTGGTCTTCCAAAGACAGCATTTAGCTAACTTCGAGTACAATTAAACCAAACAAGCGCCCCCAATTGTGCTCATGAAAACGTTCAAAGTCAATGAAGTGTTGGTAAACCACATCGACGTAATAGGCCCTTTTGTACACAAAGATGGATGTGCCAACCAAGTACATGAAGTATGAACTTAATGCACATACTCTATGATGCATAACATGTGCAACATCACCATCGCCCTCCACTGCTGCAACCATGTGTTATGTGTATAGATTCTCTAAGAATGCAAATCTAGCATGACACCCTCTGATGTATTCCACCTCCTTTAGGGCATCCTCTAGGCCAACTTTCAAATATGTCACCATCATCTCCAGTGCTTCAAGTCTCGTCATCCTGAAATGGTATAATAATTTTCCCTTGATTGGAAGATGTAGCAGGGATGACAAATCATTCAGTGTGATGGACATCTCACCATGCAGAAGATGAAAAGATGGCGTCTCAAAGTGTCATTTCTCAACAAACGCTGACAACATACCATGGTAAATAGTAGTATAATTAATCATGCATAAATCTCATAGCTCAAATAATTGCATGGCATCATGAAACCACTGCTCCTCAAGCTGTAGCAACCTCACAATCTTCCTACCATGATCGATGCTTTTTAAAGCATTACGGTACTACAAAAAATGCACTATCATTAGAAAGTTTGAATATTATAACATATGTGTTTCAAAGAATAAATACAAATAAGTTTTACCTCTCCGTCCCACACGTGCCTAGTAACATGGTCTGCATAGAGGCAATAGTGAAGTGTCATAAGGGTCTCATTGAAATTCCTCAAGAACAATAACAAGTGCATCAACCTGGAATGATGGGCTTCCGGGGTAGTAACACGTGACACTTGCCTCCGGGAAGACGATGCTAGAGACACCTAGAACCAAGAAGTTAACTCTTCTGCATCAAATGAACTAATACCAACCGGTGGTTGCGAGGATCGAGCTCTTTCTCTTTGAATATATGCATGTTGAGACACTCTATCATGCCCCAATTGTTCTTGGTTGTCAGCAATGTTACTTATAATTAAAATAGACAAACTAGACAAAGTAGAAAAAGACAAACCCATATGATAAACATTCAAAATCAAACTAAACAATGCAGACAAACAAAATACGAAAGTGCACTTATGTATTCCTAGAAAATCAAATTCTGAAACAATACGGAAGTGCACTTTCATAGTTTTCTAAAACTCATAAAACACCATAATGGAAGAACATAGGGAAACAAAAATGGAATAAAACACATTGCTCAGTAAACTACCTAACAACGAGTGTAACTACCTATATAGTAATGTGAATTACACAACCTAATGTTCCTATTTTTTAATGCATGTAGAGAAAATTAAAAAAAAGAATTCGGATTGAAAAACTTACCAAATGTATAGTTGAAGTTTTGAATCACTTGGACTGAATGGATGTTGAGAACCTCTTGGATTGGCTGGAGTAGAAAAACCACTTGGATTGAGTGAAGTAGAAATGCACTTGAATAAAGATGCTTGAGAAGTGATTTAAAGTGTTTTTGTTGGAAATGAGGAAGGGGAAATGTCTGATGCATATTTTATTAAAATCCCGTATGAAGGTCCGTTTTACGTATTACTTTTTTTAAATAAAAAATGAGGGTGTGTCTCAATAACGAATGTATGAGTGTGAAATGAGTTGCGTTTGAAGTACATTTATCAATTTTAGAAGCATTTTTGATTTTTCACAAGGATGTGTGAGCAC